AGCTCCAGCTTAGAAAGAAGAAATGAGGGAGGCCTAATGTGTGTGTCCAGGTCAGTAAAACTTCAGCAGATGACACCGGGTTGGACATTCTGTAGCACCTCAGCGTCCTGCTCCCTCTGTTCAAGCTGCTGCGCCCCAGCTGTTGGTGCAGCTGGCCCAGCCTTGCAGCTCTGCAGTTTGGAAAAGTGCATTATCTGCAGATTTCACCCTTTGGGGTTTGTTTTCCTCTTTCACGTTCTAAATTCCAGAATACACAAGAGCTGTCTCTTGAGGTGGAGTCTCTTAGAGGACATGTTAGCAGTAAATCTTGCTTTTGAAGTTGTTGAGCAGCTGGGTGCTGTCATGCAAGGTGAGGGCATCTCACTGCCTCCAGGAGTGAAGGATTGGGTACCAGCCAGGCACAGGAACGTGCAGGAGAGAGCACAGGAACCAGAGAATCATTAAGGTTGAAAAGACCTTTAAGATCTTCAAGTCCAACCATTCCCCCAGCACTGCCAAGGCCACCACTAACCGTGTCCCCAGGAGCCACATCCACACAGCTTTTAAATCCCTCCAGGAATGGTGACTCAACAAAAAAGTACCTTTAAAAAATTAATGAAACCATAAATAGGCTACAGTGCTTTAATTACAATATGGTAGTGACTGCATAATGGGACAGAATTCAAATTACTGGATGCAGGGATGAATCAGATAAAGTATTTTTTACATTTAAACAAGTTTGATCATATCAATTTAAACATAGCCATGTGTTTCTGTGAGACATCCAGGCTCACTTTTAGTGTCATTAGGAAATTTGGGGTGTTTGGCAGTATCCTTGCAACTATTTTCAGTCTTAACTACCTGGGTTTGTTGAGTTTTAAATGGTGTTTGTTGTGTTGTGCTGCTCTGGAACCTTCTTGAAGGTGACAGAGCTCTCGGCAGAGATCCCTTTGTCCTTGCAAAAGCAAACTCACCGGATTTAATGGAGTTGTTTGACTGAACAAACCATAAGTGATTTGAATCATGTGTGATCACATCTCCCTCCTACCACAGGGAGGAATTCAGAGCCTTGCTTATGACAATGCAAATGGCATTATTTTGTTGGGTTTTTTTAAGCAGTAATTACAGTAAAATAGCTTATTCTTATGTTCTAGGTGTATTTCTTTTCTGTGAGCTGTAAAACTGGTGTGTGTGGCCTATGAGTCACTGGGCTCTGCTGGTGCCTTGCCCAGCTCTCCAGGCAGTGCCCTGAGAATCCACAGCATCTTCAAGGGCACAGGACACCACCAGAATTACTGTGGATCAGCTTTTCTCCTGGTTAGGAGTTTTTCCCTGTGTCTGGATCATACCTGGTTCTCAGTACTGTTTGTGTTGAGTACTTCACAGGATCACAGAACACGCCGAGTTGGAAGGGACCCACAAGGATCATCGAGTCCAACCCTTAGTCCTGCACAGAACCATCCCCAAGAGTCACACCCTGTGCCAAGTGCTCCTTGAGCTCTGTCAGCCTTGGAAGGTGGGGCTGTGCTGGTGTCCCCTCCTGTGCCAATGCCCTGGTGGGGCTCTCCACTGCCACAGGCCCAAAATAGCAGGGCCATGTCACCCAGCAACTTGTCACTGTTGCCGAAGTCTTTGTTGGAGAGGATCAAGGTGACACTTGGCTGCTATTTTCAGACCAGCACTTCCTGATGGCTGTTGGCACTGTATTCCCCCCCTTTGATTATTTATTTATTTCCCTTTTGCTGAATCATAGACCTGGAAAATACTTCTTAGGTCACTGAGAATCCAAGATTGTGTCTCCTGATTTATTTTGCTGCCTGTTTTCCAGTTTTACGTGGCACAAGGCAGCTTAAAATGGACTATGAGATGCCACGTGTGCTTTAATGACGCTTTCCTGCTGCGTGAGGAGTTTCTTCCCTGCTCTTTATCTTAAAATTAATGGAGCTGCTCAAAACTTAATGCTGGCTTTGCCAGGGTTTATTCCTCAGGCTTCTGTGGTTGCTGATGCCATATTCACCTGCTCTTGTTTTACTGCAGCTCTTCATTGCAGTCAAAATTTGTTTATTACGGGGGATTGTTGTGCAATAAATATTCAGTATTTCCTGTCTCATCTTAATCTAATGTGTGGCTCTTGGACTGTACCGTTTTTAATTCATGGACAGGGTGGTCAGGCACTGGCACAGGCTGCCCAGGGAGTGGGGAAGTCACTGTCACCACAAGTGTTCAAAAAATGTGTGGACATAGCACCTGGGGCAAGGTTTAGTGGTGGTCTTGGCAGTGCTGGGTTAACGGTTGGACTTGATGATCTTAGGGGGTTTTCCAGCCTTAACAATTTCATGATACTGTAGCAGCCAAATAAAGGCAAAATTATTAATTTCCTCACAGAGCCACAGCAAAAAAACCTGATGGGGATGTCTTAATTCTTACAAACTGCTGGGGTTTGTTTTTTTACCATTCCTCTGTGTGATAAGTCAATGCCTGTGCTCTGTTGGCCTTTTAACCGAGTGAGGGTCACTTCTTCTCCATGTGAGAAGGCTTCAGGGCTGCCATTTGCTGGATTTTTACAACTCAGACCCCAGTTTTGAGCTGTACGTTCAGAAAATGAGCAGTGAGGTGGGCAGGAGTGAGTATTACTCCTTGGACTCATGCAGGGATATATGTGGATTGTATAACAGAGATTTGTCTTCGATTGTCTTTGCCCAGAAATGTTATTTCTTTAAGATAAGTTGTTTTCTGTTCTTGTTTCCAGCCCCATTACCTTCAAATTCTGGAGAAAATAAGGCATAATTCCTGGCAGTGATGGGCCCTAAGCAGAGCAAGCAGCACATGGGTGTCTTTGCATCCTGGCTTTGCCTTCTTTTTTTTTAGCATTTCCATGTGGTCTCCAAATTATTTCAGCTCTCTAACATCTATTTTGAAAATCTGATGTCTCTGGTGACCCACCTAATTATGGGCCTACCATGAAACACTGGGTGCTGGGGAACGTGGATCTCCTCCCATACCTTGCTTCTCCTGGGATTCCCTACTGCTGCTCAGCATCATATTTGATCCTGGGCTTGCTTGCTTCAAAATCAAAGTAATTAGTCTGTTTTAGAAGAATCCTGGCTTCCTCATCCTTTCTTTCCTCACCATTCCCCCCTAGGAATCTGAGTTTCTTGCCTAAACACCACCTTTCTTTCACCCACCAAAGCCATTCACTCTCTCTGTTCTTTGTCTTCAACAGGAGTTTCTGTTCCCAGGTTTTTCTTTCCTTCCTGCAGCTCTTTGCTGCAATCCTGAGAGCCAGACTCTGGAGCCTTTTCCCCGTCCAAGGGCACTGCAGCTGGCTCTGGGCAGCATTCCGGCAGCAGGGAGAGCTCCTGCTGCCCCATCCATCACCCCACTGGGTCCCTGGGGGTGTCTGTGTGTGCAGGGGGTGTCATCCATCTCTGCTCCTGCAACGTGACTCATCCAGTCCCAGCTGCACTTTCTGCTCCTCCTGTGGGAAGAGGGAGGAGGACACGCAAGTCTCTATTTCTGCTGTGAAAATTACACCCTTCTGTTAGTTCCAGAAGGAGTGTGGAGGGAAGGAGTGGAGCACCCAGGCCTGTCAGCCCCACCAAAGGTGGAAGATTCAGTGCCCAAAAATATGGTCTCACATCAGGCAGCCCATCCTGAAGCCTCTTCCTCTCTCCCTTAGAGCATTTGTGGATTTTACAGAAACCCACTGCAAAATCAGAGAAAGAGTTGCCTGAATTTGGCCTCTTTGAATGGAGAAGGGGAAGTTCATCCACATGTGAGTGTGAGAAGTTTCCTGGTGGTGACCCTGTCCGAGCCTGAGCCCTGTGCAGGGTTGTGCTGGTCCTGCTTTTCCTTTCAAACCAGGGGCACAGCCAGCAGGGCCCTGTGACCTGTGCTCTGCTCTCTGCAGGTAATTCCTTTTAAAGCATCTGTGGAGTTTTAGAGGTCCTTGGTCAGACATGCAGGCATTGCTGCTTGGGAAACACTCTCTGGTGAGCTACAACTCGTATGTCTGGAGGGGTTTGATACATACATGTATCTATCCTGCTTCACTCCTGTGTAATTGAAGTGGTAGCAAATGCAATGGTTGGTCCTGGTGCAGGAGGCACAGGGTTGCTACAGCAGGATCACGTTGGTGCTGCTGAGTCAAATATTCAAATCCCTCGTGGATCAGAATGGAGACATGAAAATGTCATGGCTTTCTAACCAGTTGGAGCTTGTTTTTCTCACCTCCTGCTTTTTCAAGGCCAGTCACTGCTCTTCAGCACCACTTAGAAGCTGGTACAGCTGACAGCTCACTAACATTGGTGGGTTGTGAGGGAAACCAAGAGTCCTTCCCAACCCCATGAGTGGAGGCTGGAGGTGTGGGGATGCTGGGGGGGTAGGACCAGCACAGGGGGGCTGGAGCTGTGTTTAGGGATGGCATCACATTACTGGTTTCCTGAGAAGCAGTTTGGGAAGTTGCCCATTGTCAGGTTCATTCTTGGGGTATTTTCTTCCAGACCCCACTCTCAGCAGCAGCTGAACTGTTTCAGCTGAAATTTGCTTCAAGGGTTCAGTTTGGGGTCAATTTAAGCCTGAACAGTTTCAAGTTTAACAAAGCTTCATGACACTGAAGATGGAGCTTGTGCTGGGCAGTATCAGCCTTCAGGGTGCATTCTGCCCTCCCTTTTCAGAGGGCATTGACTCATGGAGTTCTGCTGCTCTTCTTCCCCTCTAATGAGCAATCAGGAGAGTAAATAACAAAACTGGGTTTGCAGAGCACCATGTGCTGCATGTCTGCCTTAGCTGGAGCTATTTTCCCAGTGCTATTTCTGTGCATAGCCAGACCCCTGTGCCCAGGTCCGGGGTGTCTGCAGCTGCCTGCCTCCAGCAGTACCACGGGAGCACAGCTTGGGAATTCATCTGATACCTAATCAACCTCCACTTTTGTTATTCATGGATGTTATTTAAGAAACTGGGAGCAAGAAGAGATACCAGGGCTCTTGCAGACCCAGCCCCCTCTCTTTTGGTGTTCACAGGTCTCACACAGCTTTCCAGAGCAGCCTGAAGAGGGGCAAAGTCTGATCCAAACCAGCTGTATTCTTCCCCAGAGTGGCATGGCTTCCCTGGGGATGCTGTCGGCAAGAGCAGTGCCCACAAAAAAAAGGAGGAGAATACATCCCATGTCCAGACTAATGCCCAAACCTGCCCTTTCCTGTGTCAGTCCCATTGGCTCCTCTGATTCTCCATCTCACCTGCCCCAGAGCCTCCTGCTCACTGCCCAGCTCTGCTTCTCCAACAGTGTGGATTTTTTGCCTTATTTTTGGCTTTCTCTCAGCTGATGCAGAAACAGCTGGGCCCCATCGGCTCGGGGGAAGCGCTGACCTGGGAAAGGCTCCAGGTCTCTTACGTTTGCTGCAATAGCTCATCCCTTTCCTCTCTCCTTCAGGAAAACCAATAAAAAAAAAAAAACAAAAAAAAACAAAAAAAAAAAAAAAAAAAAAAAAAAAAAAAAAAAAAACCAACCAAACAGTGCAGGAGAAGCCAGAGGAGTTGGGAACTGTTTGCTGTTTGTGCCATCTCTGGTCTCAGTGCCTCCTGATCCACTCGTGGTAAAGGTGGCACAAAAGATTTTGCCCACAAAAATAAGTCTCTGCTGATGATCAGAGCTGGGCAGCGGGATTTTGTGCTCAACCTCCTCCAGGCTGTTTGTGTGTCCATCCCTTCCTCCTCCTCCTCCTTCTCCCTGCCCAGGAGCCCTGGGTGGCATCTCTGTGCTCTGCCATGTGCTGCAAGTGTGTGATTCAGTGCCAGAGCAGCGCAGAGCCAACATCACCTACCTGTGCTCAACATTGCTGTTTAAAAATATTTAATCCTGATAGTCAGGATTTGGGCACTGTAGGGAAAGGAAACAGTGCCTGGCGTCCCTAGTGGGTACGGTGCCAGTTCCCAGAGCCTGGCCCTGTGGCAGGCACCAGCTCTCCTTCCCAGGTGTCCTGTCCTTCCTGCAGCTCTGCTGATCTCCAGCTCCCAGCGGCCTTTCAGCATCCTGCCTTCCTGGCTCTTACCCTGCTGCTGCCCTGCCTGGACAGCAACATCTCAAACCACAAATCCCCCTGCACCTCAGCTCCAGCCCCTTTCCTTCCAGGTCCCCTGACTGGTCTCCCTCTGTCCCCCCCCAGTGTCACCTCCGGGTGCCCCACCATGGGCTCCCAGTGAGGGTCCCCAAGCCAGGGGACAAAGCTGGCACAGGGAGAGAGAGCAACTTGGAAGGAGGTGATGGCGTTGGCACTGCACACAGAGGAGCCAAAGGGGCTCTGGGGAGTGTCTGGAAGTCCCAGCACCCATTCCCTCTGGATTTCACCTACCATGGGGCGGCAGCAGCGTGGCCCTGGGGGCGGGGGACAGCTGGGCCAGCGTCCCTGCCCCAGCGCTGCCTGGCGATGCAGATTGGAAAAACACATCTCAGGAGTGATCCCGGCTGGGCTGCAGGCAGCTGCCTGCTCACAGCCCGAAAGAGTTAACAGGCAGCCAGGCCGAGCCGGTCCTCCCACCGACATGAGATCACCGCTGCCACCGCCAATCCTTGCTCCAGTCCTCCTCCAGTCCTCGCTCGCTCTGGCAGCAAAGGAGCCGGGAGCCAAAGCTGGGAGTGAGAGCAGCAGCAGACAAGACCCCGGCCCGTCTGCACCCCGAGCCGCCGGACAAAGCGACCATGTAGGATCCGGAATCTTCCCTCCGTCACCGGCACGGCAGCGGCTCGTGGTGGGACAGAGACTTGCGTCCATCCCACGCGCGCGTTGTGCTGCTCCGTCCTGGGTTTTCTCGTCAACATGATGGGCTGCAAGTCCAACTCACTCACTTGCCTGCAGGGAGGAAAACCAGGGCTGCCGCTGGCCACGGCCACCGACTCCACTGCCACACTCAACAAACTGGCCCTGGCCACGGGCGGGACCGAGAAATCCTGGTACCGCTGCATCTTCCCCTTCGGCATCGTCTCCGTGGTCATCGGCGTCGCAGCGACGTGCATCACCTTCACCATCAATGGCCCACAGATGGACATCGCTAAGGTGGTCTCGGTGGCCACCTTGATCTTCGGGGTGGGCCTGCTGGTGGCCGCCTACGTGTGCTGGCGGGCCAAGCGGCAGCGCAAGCGGCACCGGCAGGAGCCGGTTGCCCTAGAGCAGGGAGCCCTATGACCCGGGCTGGGGGCAGAGGCTCAGCTCCACCCGGAGACCCCTGCTTATACACCCCTCTCCGCGAGCAGAGGGGTGACAGCACCGGCTTTGTCGCACCCGAGGAGGTCCGGACCCTGCCCGAGGTCAGCTTGCCGTCATTCTCCACCCCGCCGAGCCGCCCGCGCCCGGCCATCCCCGCTCCCGGCACGGGGTAGGGGCAGCCCGGCCTCGCCTGCCCGGGACCGGCATGGAAAGAGCCCGGAGAGTGGCCAAGGAGCGAGTCACCGCACAGGGACCTGTCCCTGCCCGCACCGCCCGGCAGCCGCAGCGAGCCCCCGGCGCTGCGCTGTGCCGGGAGACCGAGGCAGCCCCGCGACCCCCGCTCGGTGCCGGAGGAGTCCAGCGTCACTTCTGTCCTCTGGTGGTTTTTCCCTGTGGCGCAGAACAGAAGGAGTTTCGAAAGAAACTCTCTGGGTGCGGGGAGCACCCGGAGAGCTGCGAGGCCGGCCGGGTGTGGGGCCGCGGGCGGCAGCGAACAGCGATGGGTTGGCCTGGCACGGAGCCCCTGGGACAGCGTGGGGGACAAGGGAGGGCGGGAGCTGAGCGTGGCGGGGGACAGCGGACCTTGGCGGCGGCGGGGGGACGCGGGGAGCAGAGGGGACTGGAGGGGGCAGCGGCTGTTGGGGGTTTGTTGTTGGCGGTGCGGCAGGTAGAGGAGGAACTCGGGCTCTTTCCATCCCCGTGCGGGTGAGCCAGCCCGGGGATGTCCCGGGGGACATGTCCCCTCTGCAGGGATGCCCAGGGCGAAGGGGATCGTGCTGTGAGCTCGCAGCAACATTGCCCGGCTTAGGTGTGGCTTAGGTGGGAGTCTGAGAGCAATTCTGTTGGGGAGAAGGAGCTAGAGGTGCAGCAAAAAGGAGCAAATACATTTTTGCCTCTTTTTTTTTTCTTTTGAAAAGAAGTGCGTGTTCCCATTCTTTGAATTTAGCCTTGAGCTCATGACCCTAAAAAAGAAGCCTGAGACGTGCAGGAGGATCCCTCTCCGGATGCCCTGGTGCCCCGACGCGGAGGCTGCGGCAGATCGCGCTGCTGCCCTGCCCCGGCTGGCCCCGCACCCAGGGGGGCCTCCCGAAACCAGCCCCTCTCCGGGTTCCTGCTCACGGGCAGCGCTGCCAAGAGCTACAGAGCAGCCACGCTCCCGGCCCGCGGCAGCTGGAGGCTGTCCATGCACAGCACAGACAGCGAATAAGGCCAAAAGCCACGAGTGGGGACACACAGGAGCAAAGCCGAGCTTGTGCCGAGCGCCCGGGGAGCCGGGGAGCCGGGACACAGCCGACTGTGCCAGGCCCCGTGCCACCCTCCCTGCCCACAGCTCTGATCCCGACGGCTCTGGCTCCATAACTAACGCGTGCTCCACAGCCCCGGGAGCTGCTGCTTGTCACAGTGTGCATGGCCCAGAGCCACCATTCTCAGGATAGTGGGATATTAGGATACCAGGGCTTGGAGTCCCAGCCCTACAAATCCAGGCTCAAACACCCACGGAGTCTGGGAGGTTTGGGGACACTTTCAGCCTCAGCTCTGATCAAAGCTTTACTTCCATGAGCAATTAGAAGAAGAGACGATGTCACAGAGCCTTGCTCTGTGGCAAGTGATAAGTTTAGCAGGCTCTGAGCCCAGACTGTTGTTTCAGGGTGTTTAAATATCTGTAGTTTTTGGTTTCAGCCTCTCTCAGGGTTAGCAAACCAGGGGTTTCCTGCCAGGGGGACTCAGCAGTGCATGGGGGATGCTCAGTGAGGCATTCATGTATTGAGGGTTTGAAGTGCCAGCTCAGTTTTATCATTACTACTTTTTTTACATTCTTCTTGCTCTAATATTTCAGCAAGCAGTTTTGTGGCTGCCTGCAGATCCCTCTGCTCTCACCTTGCTCATCATGACCACTAGGGCCAGCAGCCCTGCTCCTGATCCTGCCCCAATTGATCTCACTTTTAAAGTGCTCAGCCCTTCTCCCCCCACTCTGAATGTGCAGATGGGTTGTCCAGGTGCACCCAAGGAAAGCCTTGGAGCCAGCCCAAAATGTCTGATGTCAGGCCCCGTTATGTCTCACCCTTCTTAGATCTTCAAATCCAGTTCCCCGGAGCCAAATCCCCTCTCTCCTGCTCTCAGTAACCTCGGGGCAGCTCTCCACAGGGCAGTGCCCAGGTGGAGCCCATCCCAGAGACAGCCTGGATGGGTCCAAGTGCCAACCCTGCCCAGTCCTGCACAGACTGAGGTTTTCTTTTGTTTCTGTTGAAAGTTTTAAGGGATTTGAGTTCTGCAGTGAGAGGCACAGACACACAATCCTTCCTGCTGCCGGAGGGACAGACTCCAGGAGGTTCCCCTGCCGGGCTGCGGCCGCTGCACATGCTGGTTGAACGGCAAGTCCTGGGGAAATTCAGCTCCTTAAACAGCATCAGGGAGGTTTCTTGGTTGCAGGAATAGATGGCTGGTAAAGTTATGCCCAGCTCAGCAAATAAACTGAAAGATGAAAGGCCCCCAGTGGTCAGTCCATATTCACAAAGGACTTGGGGATCCAGAATTTGCCACCCTGCTGGCACCACCCCACGTTGCTCTTTCTCAGGCAGTGTGCAGGGTAGAGCTGGTGGGTCTGTGCTTGCTGGCAGACACCACCACCACCACCACCTCACCCTCCTCCTCCTCCTCCACTGGCATCTGGTGCCAGACATTGCAGATGTGTGAGAGCTGCCTGGGTCCCTTCCCTGTGCAAGCTGTAGAGGTTCCAGAGGACATTCTGTCCAGGCATCCCACTTTGGGTATCCCATCTGGGTATCCCATCCACCCCATTCATCCATCCCACTCATGTATCCCACCCATCTCCCCCACCCAGGCATCCCCCTGCACACCATGGCATTTTTCCTGGGATGCAGGGCCCGGCAGTCACCCACCACTCTGGGTGCCCCAGCCCTGGATCACAGCAGAGCCAAAGGCTGGATGTCCCACCCCAGCACTGTTTTGGAGAAGGTGGCTCACTCAGGTGCTGTGTTCCCATCCCGGTTGAGGTGTTGGCACAGGAGCTGTCGGTGCACAGCCAGATCCGCCTGTCTCCAGAAGCAGGAAAGCACCCTGGGAAGGCAGTGCTGTGGCTGTCTTACCACAATCTGGGGCTAAGAGACACTCTTCACCCTTTCTAGGGGAACAGAATCAAAAATTAATAAACCTGTCAAGCTCACTCAGACACCAGTTTTCCTCTGCTTTGCTTCCCCACCCTCCCAGCACTGGAGCCAC